GTAGGGGGTACGGCGTTTTGGGAACGCCGGACCCCCAGGAGCAAAAAATTATGACCGGATTTTGGCAAAAAAAGTCAGTTTTGATTTCGTTCAAAAAATATAATATGTCCGTTTTGACGAAATGGCTGTTCCTCCTCCTCTTCATCATCACTCCTCCTCCTCATCATCCTCACTCCTGCTCCTGCTCCTCCTCCTCCTCTTCATCATCAGTCCTCTTCCTCCTCATGATCATCATCATTGACTCCTGGTTATTTTCGTCGTTATTCTGTTTTCTTTTATTTATGTTTTTTTATTTTTATTTTCTATATTTGTTTGTTTTTAATTTTACTCGTTCTATTATTAGTCACTCTCCAAGCAGACTACACACTTTCATTGTCTACCGCGTGGGCGTGGGAACGCAGCCTTACTGTAGCCAGCAGAATTACTGCCCCCTCTTTTACCCCGTCCCCCATATAGAGGGGTCATATGTGTGATTGGCGGGAGCGGGCCTCTTCTCCCCCCTTTTAAAGACGGAATCGGATGATGATTATGCAAATAGGGGAGTCATTTTGAGCTACGGGGGAGGAGGGGGTTATCTTAAACCCCAAACCCTAAACCCAAAACCCTAACCCCAAACACCGAACCTGACACCCCTAAACCCTAAACCCTAAATGCTAAATCAGTGAAGGGGGAGAGGGGGGGGGGTGTTGTGAGCAGGGGGAGGGGGACTGGGTGGATGGGGGCAGGCGCGGCTGAGGCAGGGAACCCCCACAAGTCCTTAACTGTGTGCTAGGCCATGGAAGTTTCCTGTTGGGGTGGGTGGATATTCGACTCGCTCCACAACAGACGACACACTAAATTGGAACGATACAGAGGAGGAAGATTAGCATGGGCCCTCCACAAGGATGACAGACATAAATAGAGAAATGGTCTTCAAATTAACAAAAAAAAAAAAAATCCATTTAAAAAGTGAAAAAAAAACTAGATTACCGGACTTGCCCAGGACCACTTGCCCCGCTAGGGCCAAGAAAGAATGAAACAATAAAACAATAAAGAAAACTAATTTATTATCTTTTAGGGAAAAATTTCGAAATGCCCCTGAAGTTTGCGTTTATTTGCGGCGTGCCCCTGTGAAGGCCGACTTACCCTGTTATGCCCCTCGGGCCTCTGAAATTTTCCGCAGGCCCCTGTCAGCATGGGGCGTAACTTTCCAATATGCCCTTACTGGACCGCTGGTGGTGTTTCGTCGGTCCGTCCTTGAAATGCCCTCATGAGGGGCACACATCTTTCTGTGATGCCCTTGCAGCAGTAGGGACAGGAATCGAATTTGAAAATGGTAGGTATTTCACGTGCCGCCAGGGAAAAATGGTGCAGCTGTCAGTCTTCAAGTTCGCCGCGCCATGGATCGCTGCTCCCTCCTCCTCCACCCATGCTCATCGCCCTCCTCCCTCCTCCTCCATCCATGCTCGTCGCTCTCCTCTCTTCTCCTCCAGCCTCCATCCTCTATCCTCCTCCATTATCGTAGCCATTGTCCTCCCTACTCCTCTTCCCTCGTTCTCCCTCCTCCAACTTTCTCCTCGTCACCCCTCCCTCTCCTCCTCCTCCTCGATTGTCGGTTCCTAACCTAACCATCACCATGGCCGTCTTCTTTTCGTCATCGCCCCCTCCTCCTCCTCGATTGTCGGCTCCTAACCTAACCATCACTATGGCCGTCTTCTTGTCATCATCGCCCGTGCATGCGTGCGCGTCTATGTGTGTGTGTGTGTGTTTGTGTGTGTGTGTGTGGGGGGGGGTGGGTGTGTCATCTTTTCGTTTGTTGGACAGGTGGTATATGACGACGAACCAAATGTCCTCCCTACTCCTCTTCCCTCGTTCCTCCCTCGTCCGTCATCATCATAGTCCTTGTCCTCCCTACTCCTCTTCCCCCCTCTTCCCTCTTCTTCCCTCGTATGGACTGCGAGTGTCGACAACGGCGACAGGGGCTTGCTGGAAAGATGGACGGTACCGGTAAGGGCATATGGGAAAGTTTCCGGTGGTTCTCAACAGGCAACTGGTAGGGGCATACCGAAAATTTGGCACTGGTACCGGTAGGGGCATATGAAATATGTTTGAGGCCCAAACGACACCAGGGGTTTTCTGGAAACGTCATTGGTCGTCAGAGGGGCGCGACAAGGTAAGTCGACCGTCAGAGGGGCACGCCGCAAATAAACGCAAACTTCAGGGGCATTTCAAAATTTTTCCCAAATAATAAAAACTTAAAAAGGAGCATTAAACATACGGAATGAGCAAGACCTCAACCCAAATTAACACATACGGATTGAGCCATACTATTCGCCCGAAGAGAACGCACGGTCGTTACAGCTGTATTTGGCGCAAGTTTGAGTCCATATGCATCAGTAATGACCGTTCGCGTTCTATTCGGGGGAAGACGGTGGTGGCCATTTATTGGTTGATGATTTGACGAGCAAGGGTGCACGGCTCGCAAGGCAAGAGAGGGTATACTCACACTAAGTAGGACTGTTTCGGCTGCTTCTGGACGTAATTGCAGTCAGATGCGCGCAAGAGAAGATGCAATTCCGGTCAGATACATCAAGGAAAGTCCTTGTAGCGTGAGGATGCTCTGAGTCCTTCATGACTATCGGATTGACTTATCGTGAGGGCACGGGTGCGCAGCCCGTAGTTCGTTTGTTTATGTGGTTCGGGAAGGGTAAGGTAGTGATTATGCTGTATGTATATTTTGTCATGTTTGCTATACACAACTCGAAGACAGTGTGTGGGGGGGGTTCCGGTTGGTGCTTTATTCACGATGTTTATGGGACGCTGGACCCAGTTTCCAGCAGGTGGCGCTCCCCATCAACAGACAGGAGAATGTATGTGCGTGTGTATGTGAGAGTGTGTGTGTGTGTGTGTGTGTGTGTGTGTGTGTGTGTGTGTGTGTGTGTGTGTGTGTGTG